TGCTGTGAGGTAGGAATGTGTCCAATCATTCACCTGCTGAATCTCTAAAAATGTATTGAAAGAGTCTGAGCCAAATTGTATAACTGCTGAAAATTCAATTGTTGCAACATGTCCAGAAACCTCGAGATATGGGCATTTGGATTGTGAGTGGCTTTCCCAATGAATTGTAAATGCATTCTAGATCATATTTATTACATCTGTCCTCAAGTGAAAATAAGCTTGCTCGAAGTTGGATTTGCTTTCTACTACTTGTGGAATCATGTATTCTCTCATCAGTATCTTGTTTTCATTACCCATTGCTACAACCGGATGTGTTGCATTTTCATTTACTCCAATGGCAACTTGATTTTGGATGTTTTCCGCTCAGTATCTTGTTTTCATTACCCATTGCTACAACCGGATGTGCTGCATTTTCATTTACTCCAATGGCAACTTGATTTTGGATGTTTTCCGCCGTTGATTCTCTTTGCTTTTTTTTTTTTTTTTGTGGTTTTCATCGATTTTTTGTTTTGTTTTCAACCCGAGTGTTTGTTCGATTTTTGTATCAAAAGGAGCAAGATCACCATGTCTCGAACTTTATATGCAAGATACTATAAAAAAGAAAGAAAACACTATAATTTTTTCTAATATTAATTTAAAAACTATGAAGTTGATAAAAAGTTAGATTAAAGCTAAAAATAACTAAAATAATTAAATACAATAGTCTCCAACAACAATACCAAAAACTTGGTTGTACAAAATCCAACAAGTGTGAACAAGTAATAAAGTGATAATTAAAGTATTATTCCCACGAGAACTATGTATTTAACCTATGATAAATTAATGTTAACTTTAATTGAATAGCCATACGCGTTTAGAAAATTAATACTAGTTAAACAATTGAAATAATTACTCTAATAATCAAATTATGAAAGTTTTTGTAAATTTGGATATGATGATTACCGAGACTTTGAATTCCTCTTCTAAATCCATTTTAATACAACTCGATATCATGACAATATGTATGCATTCTTCTTGATGAATTCTCCTAAGTTATTTAATAATCTCTTCGAGTAGAATTAAATCTATCATTTTATGTGACCTTCTTCTATCTCAATGAAAGATGCGAACATGAAAATATGCATTAAAAATACTAGAACGTCTACTGAAATCACGCAAAACATCGATGTATAACTCTATCCCCTTTAATACTTCACAATGAGTTGTTATAAAACTCATGAATCAATCCAATTAGTAATCAAGTAATTGAAAAACATTAAACACAATAACAAGGGTTCGTCTATGTAGAATGGAAATCTAGCCCGGCATTACAAAAGTATAAAAAATCATATTTAATTTGTAGAACGCCACCCTAACTATTGATAAAGTGAGAAGAAGATAAATCTTAAAATCTTGAAACTCTTTAATGGTTTCTTGATTGATCTCTGATTGTGTATTCTCTTCTTTGCCTTCAATTGACAGAAATCTTGTAATTGCCTCTTAATTCTCTAAAATGCTTTATGATTTGTCCTCTCTTGGATTGCAATAATAGATGAAAAATATGATATGAGAGGTGTCTTTTAAGTCTTTAATACGTTCTGTATTTATAAGGGTCAAAAATAAGGTTAAAGTCTTGTCAAAATTTGATACCAAAAGGTGTTTTGATCAAAATAGGAAAACTGCCTATCAGCCTGCGTGCATGTTGTGTATCTGCTTGTAGACGCGTCGCTTACCAATTTCAGTGAGTGAAAAAGGGGGCTCGCGTGCATGAGGAAATTTCGCTGGGCAGTCATTAGTAATTTTTTCATAACCTTCTCTTTCGATGTCTAATTGAAGCGATTCAAAGTGTATTAAAAAGCTAGCTTAAAGTGCTACAATTATTCTAAAAATGTAAGTTTTCCAATTCGAGCTTTGATTACGCCAAAAATGGGTCAAATTTTACGGCTGAGAATATGGAGCCTAATTTGTGCAGGAGAAAATTGATTTGTACAAATACTTTGGTTGCATTTCAATACCTTTTGACTTCTAGTTGATCCTATTTGATCTGAAATAATCATTTTGTGACTTGAATCAACTATTGAATATGTTCACTTTGGTCCTCGAACTTTGCATTTATTCATTTTTTGCCCATTCTCTCATTTCTTCCAATTTCACTTTCAATCACGGGGTTTCACCTAAAAAATGAAATATACGAGAAATTAGATTATAATTAATTACAAAAAATTCTAAATATTTATATTTAAAGGCTCAGATTACTGTATAAAATACACTTACGTAGGACTATGATTGTTTGCCAATTTTTGAGAAATAAGTTGAAGAATCTTTGGGTTCCAGCTATGAAGGTCCTCCAATCTTAGATGAAGAAATTTGGGAATTAGTGAATTTGGGTAATGAAAGTTATGATGGATCCCTTATCTTCGATGAAGCACTTGAAGAATGTATAGATTTGTATGATGAATGTTACGACATTTTACCTATTTTTTTATGAAAATCCTGATGTCTATGTCTCTAATAGATGGTCTAAAGAAAAAGTTGGTTTTAAGTGCCACACAAGAGAGTTCATGAATCTTGAGATGGCTCTATAGTTCGACCGTCGTTCGAAGAGTTTCTTGTTGTGTGCCATACAAATTTACCTAGTAAATTACTATCAATACGAGGAATTAGATGAATACGCATTGTAAGATTTTATAATGAATCTTCATCAATTGGAGAGGTATGATGAAAATTGAGTTTTTAGTTAGTATTTTCTTTACTAAATAAATTTGGAATTCAATTCCGATTAGGACTTTTACTTTTTATTATTATCTAGATATTAGTTGATAATTGGGATTAATCATTAGTTAGAGTTAGTCATTTATTAGGTTTAGTCTTTAATTAGTTGTTTTAGTTGTTATAAATAAAGATTGTAGCCTTAACGGCAAATGGGTTTTTTTTTAATTGAAATAAAATATTGGTTGTTGAGAATTTCTCGATTTTTTAATCCAAATTAGTATTCGAGCACAATCATTGCTTTGTTGACCAAATCGTATATTCTATATTCTTGCAAAGAATCAACCAATATTTTGCGGTATTTTTGTGAATCCACGTATTTATCATTTTCGCACTACATCAAAATCCCTTCTCCAGATGATATCCCGATCCACAAAATAATTCTCCAAAGGAAAGAGGATCCCAATTTTTCATTGGCATCAAGAAATGTTTCTTCTCGTAAGTACTTACTTTTCAGTATAAATGATGCCAAAGATTCTTTTATTCGTGAGCGATCTCCATGCACTTTTAGCAACTAAAGCCTGGTTGAACAATTCTAAATCCCTGATACTGAGGCCCCCTCTCTATTTTGGACAATAGACCTTGCTCTAAGCGACACATGATTGCCCTTAAGTCTCGTATAATTGAATTAGGCTTCTTAAAGATGCTCATCACATAGGTGGGCACTGATTGTAAAACAGCTTTACTAGGACCTCTCTGCCCTCGGCTGAAAACAAACCCCAATTCCAAGCTTTATTAACCTTACTCTACGGTATAATTATTATGTGTGCAAAGGTTCTCTCTTCACTTCAACCAACCACCAAAGGCAAACCATGTTCAGCGCATACCCCATTAGTTTGTCCCATTTTAGGACCAAAGGAAATAGTGAACTCATCAAAGTCGGCAACCTGTCCTAAGCCTACCTCGTAAACAAGTAAAACTTGTTGTCAAGTTGGTGCGAAAGCAGAATTAAAATTTTTGAAATAAGAAAAAAGTTGAAAACTCGAAATTTTACTGATAATTTAGTTGTAATGAATTGGTTTTTATGAAGGATTCTCAACCCCAACCCCAACCCCTTCTTATTTAGGCAAAGGAAGAACTAAACTTCTAATCCTAATAGTGTAAGGAAACAATATCATAATAGAAAGGGAAATTTAAAACCTAAAATAAGTGGAATTAAGAAACCTAAAAGAATTAAAAAGAAAGAACATGTCCTATTTAAACAAGAAAAAAAATCCTACCCAATAAATAATTCCTATTCTATTGTAATAAGATTGTCCTAAATAAATCTTCCCACTTGAAAAAACCTGTCCTCGAGTATGGACGGAAAAAAAAATAATAATAATAATCAATTTGGAGGAAACTACTCCAAAATTTCTACGATCACATTTCTAGAATTCCGACTTAATTAGTTTTGACTGGCAGAATCTCCAGCCACATGTTGCCAAATTGTGTGTTCGTTGCCACAACCAACACGTATAGCAATTAAAGTTTTTGAATTTTTATCAGCAATATCTTTGAACTTATCCATTGTAGACCTAGACTGATTGTTTTGCAATTCTCTGAACATTTTCATGAAGATGCACGTCACTACCACCAAAGGTGGCCATCAGCAAATGGCAAAACGGAAATAAAATTCTTGAAATAAAAATAGAGTGCATAAAAGAGTAGGTGCTCATTTTTAATTAATAATTATTGTCTATTTTCACAAATACTATTATAATATAATGAGTTTTAAAAGAGTTTAAAACTAATAATATTGGTTCCAAAAGAGATTAAAATCAATAAAGCTTTTCTTCTGGTTTTTTTTTTATTAATGATGTGTGCTAAAAAATAAATAATAGCCACTTCAATAACGTAAAATATAGCTACACTGAAACCTTTCAGAGCTAAATTCGTAAAATGAAGAACACATTATAACATGCAAATTAAATAGCATAAAAAGAATTAGAAAATCATGATCATCATTCTTTGGGGAAAGTTGAAAACTAATTATAGTCATAATTATTACATCAACAGTCTAGATTAGAGAGAATGTATTAAATTAAAACTAGGAACTTTTCAAATTATACGAGTATCCATGAGGGTACTGAAGAAAACATAACGGATAAATCAAGAACATTATTCAGTAACACAAGTAAACATTATGCATAATTTCCTAAGTGATTACTTCAATTAACCCTTTTTGGCTAAAGAAATTACCAAGTCAATGTATTTTTGCCGTAGTTCTGGAAAAATAATCACCAACCATCTCTGCATATCTTCTAAACAATTCATCCATAGTTTTCTGTTCCAAAATGGACTTCCAACATTGATTCAACCACAGCCCTAATTGTTTTAGCCACTTGCTGACCCCTTGATAAATTATAATTTTCGATTTTATTATTGTATTTTTGGAAATTATTATTGCTTGGAGCACCCCCATCCCATTCAATCTCGAAGGCCTCAAGACAATTAATGGTGAATGAACCTTCTTCTTCTACTTCAGATCTCACTTCCTGAGCGGATGGAGCATAATAGGTGTTAAGATTTGGGGTTCCATCTTAAAAGGTCGACCTTATTAAGAGGAGTAGCCCAAAGTCTTATAAATTAGTCTATATTTTCATCTTTATTCGATGTGAGATTCTATCCCTTAATATGCTCCTGCAAGATGATGGCTCGTTTGAGCAGACCAATTTTGAAATCCGTATACTCACTTTTTGGAGTTTAAACTGGATCAAATTGCTCGTTGTAGCTTAATGGGCTCTGATACCATTTTAAGATTTGGGGTTCTATCTTAAAAGGTCAACCTTATTAAGAGGAGTAGCCCAAAGTCTTATAAATTGGTATATGTTTTCATTTTATTCGATGTGGGATTTCATCGCTTAAATCGGGTGCATTGAAAGAATCAATTTTATCTTCTTCAATAAGACCGTGAAATCATCAATTTTCTGCAAGCATAAGGAATTGCATGCATGCATACAATACACAAATGTGAAAAGGACCATTCATTTGATCAACTTCTTTCTCTGAGGAATATGCGAAATATAATCAAATTGAATTTGGGATTGATGTTCGAAATTAAAAAAACCATGCATTCCGTATCTCATATCCGCTTTACGTGAAAAAACAAATTGATGTTAAGGGATTTCTTCTAACAACAAAGGAAACAATCCACAATAAGTGATATATTTTCACATTGCTTCTTGACAAATGAGTGGGCTATTTCTTTGTGAAATTGCCCGATTTCATATGTGGCAATTCCACTTAGATATCTTCATTAGTTCGGAAAGAATCCTCATGAATTGGATTATTTGAGAATCGTACTACAAGAGAACTTCATTCGGTTACACATAATTTTTGGGGTTGTTTCCAGCTTTTAATAAAAGTTGATTGAAAAATTTATTAAGTTGTGAATATATAAAATGTGTGATTAAAATTAATTTTAACTTTCCTCAAACTTTTAGTAATTTTTTAAGATTTCTCAAATATATAGTTAATAAAAAGGAAGGAAACATAAAGGGACTAGAAAAGTTGTATAGGGGTTAGGGACAAAAGGCGATGGTGGAGTGGGGGAAGGGATTGTGTTTGTAATTTTTCTCTCTTTATTTTTTCCATTTTGATCAAAAATTGAGTTAAATTATCTTTTTAACGAAAATCAAAGTTTTTAAGGTCAATTGCATGAAAATGGTTTACTAGGAATCGATGAAACCCAAAACTAAAAAGTTGGGATCTAGCTGCCAAAATCCGAAAATTGCATACCAAGTTTCACAATGTCAATAGGTGGAATACTTATTAACAGGATAAAAAACATGGCACCATTCATTTAGCAGAAAATAATTTACCTCTAAGGCCATACTCATGAGAGCTTGCGCTAGGAGTTCCCACTGCATGCAACTCTCTTCTGATGAGGGATCAGCAGAGACTCTTCCCATGAATGACAACACCATGTGTCCACCAACAACCATTTCTGCCGATCGGGATTTCAGAAATAATGAGAAATCTCTCTTAAACTGTGATAAATATGCATCGAATACGCTTCTTGGACTGGATTTTGATATATAGATCTTTCATTTGTTCAGAGGCTTGAGGATGTTTGAATCCAAAGGTCGTGGCACCTGCAGTTAATGATTATGTGTTTTACCTTGTCAAGTTGTAAAAATTAAGAAAAGTGAAAAATATCATAGTTGGGTCATGGGTGTCTTCTTATAGAAGTAAAATTCATATGATTAATTAATTATGTGTTTTAAGATTCGTTGTCAAGCCAGGAAAGTAATTCATGGTGGGCACAATTTATCGATGTTGGACGTCGAATTTTTGTCATGGATGTAATGATAATAAAAATATAAAATAATATTACGACGATACTAAAAATAACATAGTTCTTAAATTACACTTGCTCCTTTCGAGTTTTCATATTTTGATACCGTTGTACAATAATTTCATTATCTAGCTAACAAGTAATTGAAGGAGAAATTCATGATTCTCAGACTGACCATAGAAATTCTACCTGCAATCTTGTTATGTGACAGGTTAAGATTCTCCAAAGAGTTAAGCTTTCCCAAATGTGGAGGAATTGTTCCTGAAAGTGAATTATTACTAAGGTCCAACAAGTATCGTAACCCGTTTAAGTTGCCAAGTTCTGACGGGATATTCCCTGATAAAATGTTGTTGCTAAAGTTCAAGAACAGCAACCTCTCACAATTGCCAAGATCTTCTGGGATATTTCCTTCTATTTTGTTTGCTGACAAATCAAGATATTGGAGCTCTGTTAAGCGTCCAATAGATCGAGGAATCTCTCCTGTCAACGGATTGTTGCTCAGATTGAGATTGAGCAGTTCAGTTAAATTTCCCAATCCAACAGGAATTTCACCTATCAATTCATTTGAATCCAGAGTTAGGACTCGCAACTCTGTCAAATTGCCTAGCTCAGCTGGAATCACTCCAGAAATTTTATTTCTATCCATCTGAAGATTTGTAAGCCTTTCATATTGTCCCCACCTAATTGAAAGTTGGCCTATAAATTGATTTATGCTCTGAGAGAGAGGAACTCAAGATTCGGATGAACTCCAAATGCCTCAGAAATATTCCCAGAAAATCAGTTGCCTTCAAGCTATACTCTATTGAGGCTCGAGCAATTCTTCAGGCAACCTGGTAACCTTCCAGTAAAACTGTTGTTATTCACTGTAAATTGATTAAGAAGAAAGCCACTGCATAATCCAGAAGGCAGTTCACCTGAGAAGCTATTATTTGAAAAACTAACATTGACCAATTTGGGACTATTCTTTCCCAAGTCAAGGGGAGGCGGAGGGGGAGGAATGAGGTTTAAATTTTTGGGATTGGTCTGGACCTGGACGTTGGACTTGGGCCGTTGGGTATAATATATTGGTATTTTGGGCTTTCTTTCTTGGGCTGGGACTTAGCCTATAATTAAAAAAAAAAAAAAATTTGAGCCTAGAAGTTTAGGGTGGCCTGTGCCCACCTTGGGCCTTACTGGGCTCCGCCCCTGCTCTCTGTAACTTGTCTATGAGAAACTGTGTATGTGTTAGCCTTGATGAAATGGGGACCAAACGATGGTCATTGCATAGTTGTTCTTTTTTCATTGTGGTGATTATGGGGACCAAATGAATTTTCCCCTTGTGTTACGTCACATCTGAATTACTTTGCCATCATCTTATTGATTATGGGGGCCAAATGATATTTTACTTAAGGTTTAGCCCCCATTATGTTTTCTTTTTTTTTCAAATTTTTCTCTTTCTTAATTTTAACCACACATTCTCCAAATAAAATAATATTTCACACAAATCTAAAACTTTCCATTATTTTTCAACCACACATTCTCCCATCAACCACTATTCCAAAATTTATAATTTCTTAAAAATGGGGACCAAACACTAGCTTAATTTAACATCTAAATTAAAAATTGTGTCTTATTAGGGATAAGTCACCAGTATTTCTCTCATCTCTATTGTTAAAGAAAATTGTTCACGTCTTACCGCCAAATCATGATAATATAAATAATATTTCAAGGTAATGATGGTAGAGTTACCTGAGAAAACCAGTGGAGACTCGAAGAGGAGTGATCAAAAATGTGAACTCTTTTTAGGAAACAATCTCCCATAAAAAGAGCCAGGCACACCTGAAATAAAGCACCCTTCGGGCCCAATGTTCTTCTCCGTTTTGAGTTGATTGTAGAACTCCAGAAAAGAGATGAATACGTTATTGAAATCATTACCGGGAAGATCGTTCAATGAAACCCTTAACTCCGGCAATGGAATTCCCTTTTGGTTACTTGTGGCATATGTTGTATCTATTATATCAAAAATTACCATTACAGTGTTAGGTCCAGATGGACATCCCAAATCAGCAATACCCATAGTATCTTGGAAACTCTTTTCCAGACCATCTTCCACTGCTTCCTGGATTATTGAAGTTGCAACTGATATTATCTTCCTCTGCAAATGCATGGAAACGTTTCAAAATAATGTATCAGAAAACCAAACAACAGAGAAAAAGAAGAGCTTCATCCTCAAATCTGAAAGCTTTCAAGTTATCAATTAAGAAATTATATGACAGCCTTTAAGTATTTTGAGGATTCTAGCAAAATGAAATTCTAAAATTCGTGATTTTTTGGCGAACTTACATTTTTTTTCTTCATTTCCTTTGCCTAGGATATTTGTATTTTAGTGCTAACAGGAGCAAGCATTGTACCTTAAATTTATTTATTAGATACATATTGCAAATTAATACAATGATACTGTACAAACTCATACATTTATACTATACATAATGCAAATTAACACAAGACAATGTTCTTTTACAATATAATCCCTCATATATTGGGACCAAAGATATTCCTTGATAAATCAAGTTCAAAAGCTATTTAAGTCTTTTGAACATAGCTAAAGGTCAGTAAATTTCGATATAATCCCTCATATATGGGCAGTCCATGGGTGATTTATGATATGATATCGTTCTACTTGATGTAAAAGCTTAAACTGTCATAGCATTTTGATTTAAATGGGTGGATATTAATTTAAACTTCAATAATTTGAACCTATACACAGTTTTTTTGGTAAATGGGTGGCACCAAGAATATTTCATTTGATGACTTTTTGATGGTATCACTAATATTATGTGGATGAGAACTTGTGTCTTCAAATTTTTAAGTGAGGGAACAAAGCTAAAATATGTCTTCAAAAGTTATTTTCCATTTTCCAAGTTTCTATGGAGTTTCTCAAAATTTTGACTTTTGTTAAAAACGCTATTTAGAAGTTTTCATCCAGCAAAGTAGGATATGTTTGGATTTTCAACTCCAATAACTTTTTTTTTTCAAAATATCTATTAAGGAAAAATTCGTTAGTACTTAATCTCTTCGTGATAAACAAATCTATTTTACAAATTCTATGACACTGCGAACAGAATCCCATAGTGTGCAAAAGATAAATTCCTAGATATTTATGTAAAAAAAATGTTGTGTATGCAACATCACTAGTATCATAGTAAAGATAAATTTAGAATTTTGCTAGCATCGATAATGGAATGCTAGCAAGAAATGGATACTGCACAATTGAATTCTTGGCATAGCTGGTGTCGCCTTCTCCTTTGTTCATATGAAGAACTTGCATCACTTCCATCTTTCTCTCTCGTTCTTTCTTTCTCCCTAATTTCCACTGGTATCTAGATTTGATATGAATGCATTATGAATATGTTGCTTCTATTTATAAATACACAGAAGAAGAAATGGGATAATTTCATTTTTAGTCACCAAACTTATAGCTAAATGTTAGTCACTGGCATTTAAAAGTAATAAATTACGGTGCATCATAGCCTTTTTGCGCTTTGTACAAGAAGCAAGATTAGACTGAAGGTATGAAAGGGATATAGCCTTTTGTTTTATTTTTCTCGGCTAGCCCGTAGGTTGTATGCCCAGCCTATGTAGCTTGAACTATAATGACCACAATACTTAACTACATCCGTTCTCACACTTCCTGCATTCATTCACTCGGAATAGAATTGTAACATATGTCACTATGCTATGTTCAACCTCACGCTAACTAATAAATCTTTGCTCTCCATGGGCTTCCCTGGAAAAGTTTATTTCAACAGGTTAAATATTGAGAATTTAAAATCATAATGTTATTCCACTAAGAAAAATCAATTGTAGAAAGAAATAAATACAAAAAAGATTTATAGAGGTTTGTCCCATTACGATACTACGTACTCTTCTACCCCTGTAGTAACTCACTAAGATGAAAAAGGTTTATAAGAGAAAATCGCACAACTTATCTTCTGTAATCTCTCTTTTTGTTTTGCGATGGTAACATAAAAGTCTAACAACGACTCCCTATTTAAGTCAAAGTCGGGTAAAGCCAAAATTTAAAAGGTACCATCCCCGACCCTTGCAGCCTCCCCCCACCACTTTTGTTGGAGACTTGGAGATTAATAAAATAAAAAAACTTTGAGAGGAGAGAATAAATTCAATAGAATAATTAACTTTTTATTTGAATTGATATGTATCAAAATGCTAGAATCGAAAGCCTTTTGTAGGATGTAAAAAGCATGTATCTAATCCAGTATATGTATCCACTTTTTCCTAAAATAATTCATGAATATATCAAATACATGAATCAACTAGTACATGGATTCATTATACATGTATTTATTAATCAGAATACATGTATATCAACAATGCATGAATATTATAAATCATATTGCGTGAAACAATGTAATTATAATCAAGTTTATATTTCTATCACACCGTATGTTTGTAAGTCTTATGCACTAGGTCCAATCAATTTTGGACATAAACACTTTAAATATATATAATCGATGCGCATTTATGGAAAAATCTGTTATTTAAATGAATTAATATTCTAATAAATTAAATAATAGAATCCGCAGATTCAAGTCTTGGTGATTTGTTAATCACAAGGTATTGTGATTGTTAGATACAAATTACATATGATTGAATCTTAAATTATCTGTGGTTGAAGTAATAACGAGATACGGATATCGTTATTACAGATAGATTATCATGTGTGGTATTCTTGCTTGTGAAGTAAGTAGTTGATCTCACAAGATAAAGTGTGGTGATACTTGAATGAACACGCAATGTTTTTTTACAGAATAAAACATTGGAGACCCGCTGGGAGATTCTAATTGAATAACTATCTGAGAGTTAGTGGTTAATCTCTAACGTTCGGTAGCGGAATTGGTCCTTTGACTTGAGGTCATCATAGTGCCTTATATACGGACAATTGTACTTTGATGGTGTTGGATGTTGCTCTGCCAATGATCGCTGGTACAATATCATTCAAGTATGTCAAGAATCATATGAAGGTTGTGAATGATCGATAGACGATTCGTCCATCTTAGATAGTAAGAGATTATGATTTACTGATACACCATCATGTGTGGCATTCTTACTTGTGAAGTAAGTAGCTGATCTCACAAGTTAAAGTATGGTGATACTTGAATGAACACGTGGATGTTTTGTTATAAAACAAAATATTGGAGACCCGCTGGAGATTTCACATGAATAACTATCTAAGTGTTAGTGGTTAATCTCTAACGTTCGGTAGTGGAATTGGTCCTTTGACTTGAGGTCATCATAGTGCCTTATATGTGGACAGTCATACTTTGGTGGTGTTAGATGTTGCTCTGTCAAGGATCGCTGATACAACATCGTTCGAGTATTTCAAGAATTATATGAAGGTTGTGAATGATCGATAGACGATTCGTTCCTCTTAGATAGTAAGAGATTATGATTTACATTTTATCCAGTTAAATTGATAATGAAATCCTTGGCTAAGGTGAAATCATAAGTCGAAAANATAATGAAATCCTTGGCCAAGGTGAACTCATAAGTCGGAAAAGAGTTTTCGACGTACATTGACTTAACAGTGGGATAAAAGATATGATCGATAATTGAGATTGACACATATCCATATCTCATAATTGATCGGATCATATTAACGAAAGGATTATAGTTTCACAATAAACGGACAAGTTTGGTTTTGTCACACCACATGACATTTTCCGTCACATGTATTGTCCCGACACATTCCTAGATGTCAATCTGGGACGACGAATGTGAATTAGTGATAAATTAAAAGGGGTGTTTTAATTTATGGATTTTGATTGGATCAAAATAATAATTCAAATCGTTAGCCATCGTGATTGAAAACGTAATGGGTCACACACAAAAGAGAACTAGAAGAATGAGATTCACCGATTAATTAATTAGCAACTGTTGGATAATTAGGGTTTTAATTAATTTTATTAATTAAATATTGGATCGGGTTAAGTTTAGGAGACCGGTCAAGCCCGCTTGGGCTTATATTAGTAGACTTCTAGGGTTTGAAAACTATATGGAATAATTCATTATTCTTGGTAGCACAAAAAAAGAAAATCCTAGTCGTCACTTGTTCTCTGTGGGGATCACAATTGGAGGCTAGACAATTGGACAGTTTGGATTGCAGATCGTGATTATTCAAGTTCAAAAAAAGTAAAGGAGTTTGTGAAATTCATCAAAGGTATAATTCTTATCACATTTTCTATCTAAACACAATGCAGATCCTTGGTGGGAATTGAAATTGATTTATTTTCTGTTGTGCAAGATTAAGTAAATTCTCAACAGTGGTATCAGAGCCAGGTTGTGTTTGTTAGAAATTGGTACGTATTATATAACAATCGAAAGTTGATTGTTGTTATTTTTTATGTTTCTAGCAATAAAGAAAATTTGATTTAACATATTTTGAAATCTAAAAAGAAAAAAGAAAATCAGAACACAGGAAGGTCGAGGGCCTCTTGTGCAATTTCTAAAATTGCAGGCCCTGCATGCAATTATGATTGCTAGGTCAATTTGTAAATAATGAGGGGAGGGCTCATTTGCAATTTTCGAAATTGGAAGGCCCTGATTATAATTTTAAACTTGGGTCAAATTGACTCGATACAAACTTATACATTAATGTCTCAAATTGAGAAAGCATGGCATGCATATCTAATAATTCTTGCTCCTGCTTCTTCAGTATTTTCTCTGGAATGGCATTTGACCCGGTATAAACCGATGTCAAATGAACAAAGTGGCTTGAGGCAAGTTTTGGACCATGTCCAAGTCCTCTAATGTAACCTCTAGATTTTCCTAA